GAGATATACTCTGTAAACTGAGCATATTGAATTGACATTTACTTTCAAAGCAAAATGTCAACAGTTGTTCCTTGAAAATATCAACCACCAAAATGTACTTCTAAAGCAGGTAGCAGAAGGCTATGATAATCAAATATCACTGACTAATTTCTTATCAACATGATATTTGTTGGTATCAGTACAAAAACAACTTTCTAATGTTTAAAACATCTTGTATAAATATCAAGAACTTGTTATAAAATGTTACATCTGATTTAAACTCAAAAGACGTTAACCAAAAATACACAGAATTGTTACAGTTCTGCCAACAATTATAAGCCTGAAGAATTGGCACATATATTAAGAAAATCAGACTTCAAAGTGCATCTACATCAATTCATACAGATAGATTTCAAACTTATCAAAAATATAAATTGACAGTTAAACACTTTTTCTTTTTAAAAATGCAATCTACATCCATGTTACTTCAATAATAAATTTTGCAACTGCAGTACCAATACCAATATCTATATCTACATCTGCATTATCAGTTTATTTCTAAATCTACAGTAAATTGGTCTACATCTGCAATACCAGTAAATTGGTCTACATCTGCAATACCAGTAAATTGGTCTACATCTGCAATACCAGTAAATTGGTACGAATCTTCAGTGCAAGTTAATGCATAGCCCACACATCTGCAGTACCGGTATAGCGATGCATCTGTGGTATCAGCAAATTGATACATTTGTAATACCAGTAAATTTACAGCATCTTCAGGGCCAGTAATTGGTACAATTGCAGATTTACAGATACATTGTTCACATTATGAAACAATCAATTAATCAATTCTCCTCATAAAATGATGTTGAACACTCTTCAGACATTTCTAGGTAATCATCGTATTGTAAAAAAACGTGTCTGTTATAGAAAAGGTAATAAAAATAAAAGGTATGTAAAATCTGTAGGTCTGTTCTGGTAGCATGTTGATAACAGACTGTAGAGTAATTTACATTATGGTCTTGTCAATAACTCATCTGGCAACACTAGAATACATCAAATCAGTACTATACAATCTGGCGACTTAGTTTTTCAGAAAAATAACTAGCTAAACATTATAAAAACATTGTTTTAGATGCTTATCTGAACAAATATTACTAAATATAAATCAAGAAACTAAAATCGTGTCTGATATGCACCAAATTTTTCCAAAAGTCCTGGCCACATATTCTTGAAACCATATTCTCTAGGTTATCCTATAAAAAGTGTTAGAAATTAACACAATAAGACATCCTTGCGTTAAGATCATTTCGTGGATACATCTTACTTTGTACAGAGACTAAAATTTCATGTTATAAGTTGATTTGTAGCTGAACCATTTCCCTCAATTGGTGCAAATCATGAAGGTGTACTTGTTTTACTCCATTTATTAGATTTCTGACCCACGGCAGGTATATAGAATATAAACAATAGAACTGTAAACACTACCATACCACCAGATTGTTCTCATTATTCTACTGTCAGTTTTTATAATAAACAGCTCACATATCACCTAAACATAATATTATTAGTGGGCATACAACATTATTAGTGGGGAAACTCGTAGGTCAATCAGTAGACTTGTCTTCAGGGTTAGCTTTTAATTATCACTATATCCATGAAACTCCAGATGATTGAACAAGTGCTATCATAATCATGGCTATATTTGAAGGTCACAATTCTTTGAATCTTCAAAATGAAGTGATTATTTGAATTCTTTTTTTCAGTTTTTAACAAAAACTATGTAAAAATCTTCTTAAATTTTGCATTAGAAATTGTTGTCAGTGAAAACAACTATCAATTCTGAACAACTTGGCAAACTCTTGCCTCGGAACTTTTACAAGCAATTATGCCAAAAGGAAGTGATGTCTGCTGTGGTGAGGATCAAAGTCATTTTGAGTTCCACATACAATCATTTGCAAGGACAAGGTACTTTCCATCCATGTAGATGATATACTATCTGTCAGAGACATATTTAGGGGTGGCCTCAACAAATCTGGAATTGAACCAGTGACCTTCTAGTTTGTGAGCAAGCATATAACTGACTGAACCACCCACCAAGACCCTGCTGAGATGAAAGAGAAAAGGTACAGTGTTGATAGAAAGAAGTTAATATGAAACCAAACTAACGTGTTGAACAAATTACTGTGATCTATGTTTACTGGTCATGTTGATTGAATTTAACACCTTCCAAATAAATACTGAACTGACCAAACAACAACATGGTCAACTCAGATTACAAATTTGACCAAACCAGATCTAAGAAGCCTTAAAACCATTGGTCTATGCTTTAAACTGAAGCTTTTCTACTGAAAAGTCTAGTGCTAGCTTCTTTCTTAAACGAGAAGTGCTTCCAGTACTTGAATTCCATTTCTAATGCATCTGGCCAAAAATTCAATTTCTCAATTTTCCACATCTCAGAACTCACATAGCTTTGATATTTTCAGGGAAAACCAAAGAAACTCTCTCAACAATGGGAAATCATTCATTCTTTAAAGCCCATTGGAGTTACAGGGATTGTAAAGAGGATTTCTAAATTTTTTATGCTTATAAGGGACACTGATAGCATCAATTGGCACTATTCCACTTTTCAATCAGACATCTTTAGTTCCTGCAATTCCCCTATAACTCAGTGTATTATGATGTCACCCTGACCAAATTTTTCTTGTATCACATAAGACCTTTGCGAGAGTGTTGTCATAAAACACTTAATTTAAATAGATTTGCTAGGACCACAGAGGTCTGATTGAAAATAGGAATGGTGAAAATTGATGATATCATTGTCCACGATACACATACAGAAGTTAGAAAACCTCTTTACAATCTCTTTAATGTAAAATCTGGTGGCCGACAATAAACCACCTTTACAAAATAAGGGGATTAAATAAGCAGATGGGACTTTAAGACAAATTCATTTCAAGAGCGTCAAAACATTCATTTTTTTCCTCAAACACATACCAGTATTTAAAGTGCATATTTATTACAGCTTGGGGCGTTTATTGTGATATATAAAGTTACTGGGTTAACCAAGTGAAAAGATTCAAAATTGCGTGTCATTTTTTTAAAAAGAATATCAGTATTCAGATCGGTATAATAAAACTGTTGAATAGTATTAAGTATATATGAAAGATTTCCTTGGGTGACTGAACACACATTGATGTATGCAAACATTTCTTCATCTTCATATATATATATCAATTTATGATGGTAAAGGCTGGTTGAGTTGTTTAAACTGAGTCAAATCAAGGTCAACCAGTCTCTTTAAGATACAAATTACAGCTGAGTGTATTTGTTGTCATTTCTACTGATTATGACTTGGTCTTCAAAATTTTGGTCCGTCATACTTTTATAAGTAAAATAAAATAATCATTCTATGAATATATTTCTCATTATTGCCATGCTACTTATCCTTATCAATTTAGTGTAGAAATGGACCCTGTTGACAATTTTTATCGTCCAAACCAAATTATTAGATGCCTTTCTCAGATATGACATCACTTAAAGTTGGAAATTAAAGCTGGTAAATACAGGCCTCGACTGGTAGTTACTAGCTCTGAAAGGCTGTATATACCCTAGCATACAATCAAATTCTTGCATTTACAAACTTCCATGATACCCATACTGGGTATGCTCCTGTATACTGTTACACCACATGGTGCAGAAAAAATCCATTCATTTCATTTTCATACTATTACAGATTTTGCATATTTCATGTATTTCATGCAGAAAAAAAAGTTTTCCAATATGGAAAAATAAGATTTAAAGATCCTTAAACAAACAAAGTTACTAACACAAAGCCTGAGGTCAAGTCCTTCATATAGTCAATGAACAAGATATAAAAAGCCATACATAAATACATCAGATTTTTTCTAATTATGTCACAAATTGGGGTATAAAAGAGATGAATTGAACCATAAAATATAACCGTTTTACTAGATTTTCTCTACCAATGGTCAATAATAAGACAAACAAATCAGATCCGATCCATTCAATGTCAAAGGCAACAAGCTGAAATGAGATAATGAACTTTTCAATTACCAAGAGTTCCCCCAAATTAGGAATTAGAAAAAAAGTTTGTATCTTTACTTCATTTCTAACAAAATATGTGTAAGAATGCACCAAAAATTTCAAAAATAATTCTTGGGGAATAACCATTTCTAGCCTTTGGCTCTTCCAGAGCTGCTGCATTTCGACTTCAACCTCGAAAGTTGTTCCCCCATAAAGTCAGTCTGCCCCTAGACTTGCGCTGTCACTGATAATACTTTTATAGTTTCAATTTGAAAACAGATAAATTTCAAGACAATGGAGGAAAAGAAACTGAACATATTTGAGGTCACTATGGTGAAGGTCACATAATTTCATCTTACACTATTCACAAAGTGATTGACATTTTTTCAAGGATCATCCTAAATAATTGTTCAGTAGGGCATTAAATGGTCAAATCCCTATAGAATGTATCCTATTACACAAAAAACTAACAAAGGACATGACCATGAATATAAATGTGGGATTATTTACTTAGTTAATAGGGATAAAACAGATCAAACTTTTCTTAAAGTCTTGTGTTTATAAATATATCTATGTCAAGATTTGTTTGTTGTTGAGATATATATTGCAGACGGCATTTGAATAGTATCAAAATCATTCTTGAAATACAGAATTCAAACTTAAAACCTGTCTGCAAAGAATACAATTTTGAATAATTCCAATGATTGAATGACGTCTGCAATTGCATGAAGGGAGAATTCACTGTTGTCTTAAGAAACCTAGAGAACAGGTGTAAAATGAATTCTTAATACAGATGAAAATGGAAGATTTCATTGCAAACATCTAGTGTACATTCAAATAATTGGATGAAAATGATCTTTAAAAAATGAGCTGAAGGGTACAAATATCGGTATGATGCAGATTATACAATTATTAGTCAAATACTGTTGCAACTACTACAAAATTGGTGTATCAATACTAAAGAAAGTACTTACCCTGCTGGATATGCTATAGTACCAGTGTTATTATCACATGTTAATCCAGTATTAGAGGATAATGTTAATCCTAATACACGTTCTAATGTTACCTGAAATTACATCAGAAATAAAGGTTACAAATTTCTAATATTCCCTATGAAAATATTTTTGAAGATCTTGACATATTTCAGCGTAAAAAATCTTAAATCTGTAGTTTATTGCTAGCAATGTTTTGGTCATATTTAACCATCTTCTCAGCAAGTAAAATCGTCCAGCTGTCATATGCTTATTGCTCGATTTATAATGAAAATCATCTTTTGTTTTCTTTTTCATCCTATGATATAATGCGATTTCAAAAAGTTTGAAACTTTATTGTTGTGTCTCTTTTAAGTACTAGCCCTAAAAATTAAATTTTCAGACTTGTATTTGTTATTTGCTGAGGTATATAATATCAATTAGAAATCAATGGAGTAGAATAAGTTAAAGACTTGACAAATATTGATAAGTCAATGTAATAAATGTTATATTGACATAAGTTATTAAAAGTCAGCATTAAAGAAATAATGTCAACACTAATACCAGGTGTATATTAGAGGTCTATATTATATTAAGTAGATTACTAGTTCCGATATCAGGCTTTATTGACATACTGTGACATTATTTAAATAATACAACTAGTTATACCTTAGTCAACAGGTTTACACTGTAATCTTTAATATTTATATACCTGATTCGTGTTCCTTAACTTTCTCAAATAGAACTAGAATTTACCACAGGGACTATATGTCTGCAAGCATTTCAATATGGAAAATGTTTTGGAATTTAATCTGATTAACACTTTCATTTTTTCAATACTAAAATCTTTTCACTTTTAAAATATTGCTCAGTACAACAATTGTAGAATGATATAGAAATATTAAAACAATATCTTGAATCATGTTGTTACTCAGAGTTTCATGCTATGAGATCTTCAGACAACTGACCTTTGAACTATTATGATAATTTCCTTTTTTTTTTGTTTTAAATTGATCAGATTAGATCAACCAATTTTATGAAAATTGAGTCGTTGAGATTTTCCCCCAAAATTTCAAAGGGATTTACACATAGTACCTATAAATGTTAGTGTCAGCTATGCCAAATTATGAATTTATGAACTCAAAGGATAAAATGTTCTCAGGTGAACTGAAAAATTTGATCTTGAAATACAATATGACCATTTTCATTTCTAATCTATAAGCTAAGATGTCATAAAATATTATCTAAAGTATGATATAAACTATGTCAAGATGTCATGTCCTATCTATTTGTCCATGTTAATATGTCATGTTAATAACATTACAGCCTTGTCAAATTATGTAATTGACAGTCAACTTGACAACACGGACTGTTAGTGATATCAGGTATCATGGACAATTGGACAGAGGACAACAACCTAGTCTCTTAAAATTGAAATCTCTTTTCACAATTTTATAAAGATATTTAAGCACTATCTCCCTATTTCTACTTGTCAAAGTTATTTAAGGTCAAAATCAAGACTTTCATAGCCAACCAAAATTAGAACACAATCACAATTTTCTGGGGTTACAAGCCAAAAAATGTGTTCTTTCAAGCATTCTTTTGAAAATATGTCTACTTTTGGACAAGAAACCCAGGCACTGTGTGCATCTCAATAGTTGAAATTCTAAGAAGAACATGCTATGGTTCAAGCCATCATTTTCTCAATTAAGGAGCAGGACAACAGAAGATGACGACTCCATTTCAGACTCGACTACAGTTAATATATTGAACCAAAACCTAATCTAATCAACCTGTGTAAACTCTCACAAATAGTTCCTGATTAACTATCTAGCTTGCAGAAATGTGTCAGGTATGTTTCAAAATTCAGAAACTTCAGTACTGTTCCAGATTTTCACTTATTTACCACCAAGGAATATAATTCAACATGCAATGCACATAAACATGATAAATGGAGAGCAAAAAAATACAAATGTTTATGTAAAAACAGTACAATATACCAAAAATAAATGCACATACACCTGGTATTTGGATTAACCTTGAGTGAAGGATGAGAACTGAATACAGGTAAGTTCTATTTTCTATATACAACAAGATAGAAAGAAAAGTTGGCAAGGCATATTACTACACTAGGCTACCAGCTGTTTACAAACTTCTGACAATGCACCTATTGATTTCATCATAGGCATAGTGTACAAAATCTAGAATCTGTTGAGAATTAGAGAACATCCTTGACATTTTACAATAGATATATGGTGAAATGAAATTAACAGAGTTTTATGTCCTACTTTTCTGCACTAATGAATACAGTGAGCAATAAAGACATTTTTCCAGGACGGCAGCATTAAAGTGAAAATAGACGAGGAACTGTGTTCGGTGGAAGATTATCGATACAGTAGAAAGAAAATAAAAGAAGCAAATCGTGTCCAGAACTGTACCTCATGTGTTCACTTCTTCTATTTTCGTTTGTATCGATTATTCTGCATCATATAACGCACCAGATACCATCGACTATTGACAGCTTTACCCTACACTTTTTGGTGTAACCTGTCTTGAAAAAATCCAAAGGTATAATCTCGACCTAAGCCAGGATTAAAACCTGGACATTCTGGTTGGATTCAGTCTTTGAGTGGCATGAGATGTTCCTGAAGAGTGAGCATGGCCTTGACTTCTTAAAGACACAGCAAACAAAACAATATATTTTGAGCTTAGAGACAAAAGGCTAAAAAAAAATCACCTTAGGCTAAAAATCCTGTCTACTAGCAAACATTTGCCTATTAAATATATACTAAATGAATAATTCTGAAATATGAGAATCAAAATTTCCAGGAGATCACTCTCAAATTTCCAAAGTTTGAAAAGTTTGGTATAGCATGAGTCTAATACAGGTAAAAATTTAACCTTGCTAACTATATACTTCACTCAGCTACCTTTGACATACAGAAATAATGGTGGAAGGTAGTGTCAGACAGACCTAGGTAGTTAAAGAGAAACTATTCATAAAGACTTGACCACATGTCTTAAACATGTCTTACATATGTGTTAAGGTGTGAATAGATGATGAACGATGTCCGGTGCAGTGTTGCAGTGTATGATGATCGATACTGTACTGTAGAAAATAGTAGAAGTGAACACACAAGAAGTATGAGTCCGGACACAGTATGGACAAAATTCGTTTCTATTATTTTCTAATGTATCCGTAATCCTGCACCGTACACCATCTATCCCTTGAAAACTTTTCATGGTCCTTGAAAAGTTACTTACTGAATTACAATAATGCAAAATAATTTGTGAATCTTATTTCGTACCAGTCGGCTCATAATAAAGCTAATGAAAGTGGAACATTGTGTATTAGTTGGCGTAAGATTCTGAAATAAAATGAATGGAGTTTTACATCCTACTTTTCTGCACCTTATGGCCAGTGAATTGAATGAAGAAGGGCAATGTCATGCAGTGTACAATGATGGTAATTTTGCTAGGACCGCAGCATTAGCCTGCTCTTTTTCGATTTCTTTATCCATGTCAGCCTCTGGCTTATACTGCTGAATTCATTCAGTTTGAATCTTATGTTCCCGAGCACACATTCCAAAGTTCATCAAAATCAGTTTAGATAGATTCGAGAGCTTTGACAATGAAATGTGAATGGACTATCAGGCCCTTAAAGTTACAACTATACATCTACACAGAGAGAAAATATAGGCTGAATTTTTCCTAATTTCAAGGTGACCACAAATGTAATACATCTGTACCTATACAATACTTAAACTCTTCCTGTTAGCATTTCTCCTTGAAATCTACTAAACATAGTCTGCCAAACATAACTTGAATTCCTGACAAGAAATTTCTTATGGCACCAGATTTCTTCAATAGTCATAAAATTCCTCTCGATAGGGTTTATGGTTCCAATTTCAATAAAGTGAAGAGCATAAAAACTACTTTGTTTGTGGAATTTGAAGTTTGCTACTTATTCTGACAACAGAAAACTACCAATTATTCCAAAAGGTTCTCTGTAGTCTTAAACCGTCATGTAAGATTGTAGCACACTACAACTATTATGATGTATGACTTGGGCCAACAATAAAAATAACATATGGATCATGAAGAAAGTAGGATCTGTATTAAATATTTTGGTCATCATTCCATCTGTGATTGGAATTATCTATAATTTTTTCATTCAAAATGGATTTAATCAATCAGGAATACCTGGTAACTGATCCTCACCACCTAGATATGAAAAGTTGATGAAAAATGGAACATGTATCTGTCTTCTTTTGACAATTTAAAATCCAAGATGGCAGCTATCACTTGTCACCTTAATTACAGTCTGGATATCTGAAGCTAGGTCTTGCTCCTCAAAAAAGTTAGTATTTCACTTTAAAAAAAACTAATATTGTTCTCAACCTTCACCAAAACATTACATCATTAATCTACTTACTCTGTCTTGCCTTTTCGGTCGAAATGAAGAAATTTTGTCAAAATATGACATCGTAGACGACATTTTTCACGTGGAATATTGACACATTGTAAACAGTCTCTGAATCTTTAGTCACAATTGTCAAGTGCTCTTAATCGTCACAAATTCAATACTTTAAAGTATTTGACCTTTCACCTTACAAACATCCCAATTAACCAGTCATAAAATAACAAGGAGTGTGGGGCCTCAGGGTATTTATGTACTTACACACAACTTGTCTGTCTTGTTAATGTTTCAAACAAAATGGCTTTTGTTCTTAAAATAATTTAAAAAATCTAAGAGATACTCTTTTGCATCATAGATACAAAAAAAAGTACATGTTATACAAAAAAGTAAATAAACAGTCAACTGAAAGGGTGTATGTGATTTCTTTAGATGAATATAGGCGCAGTAAAGAATTCTATTTTAAGATCTATAGGTATCAAAAGCTCATTATTACATTTACAATACCACCCTCTGCATATATATTGAAATCAGTCACTATGAAGGTATACTCATTGATGCATAATGATAAATGTATCATATAAAACCTTTGTGGGGGCGACGTCATAAACACTTAGTTTTAGTGGAATTGCAGGTTCCACAGATGTCTGATTGAAAATCAGAATGGCACAAATTGATGCT